AGTGAAGAATGACAGGAATCAAGTTGAAATGTAAATGGTACTGTATCCCATAAATAACTTCAAAGTAATTTCATAGAAAGAACGCATCTGATTGTGGTATTTGGGATTTTTGCCTGACTGTTAAAATTCCTCAAGCACAAGCCTTTCACTTTAGCCATTCACAAAGTTGCAGATGTTGGTGTTTCAAGCACAGAACCATGTTGAGGCACTATTTGGCTCTCCTCAGCTGACTGGAGATCTGATAAAAGACCCAAACTGCCTCTCCCAGGGAGATCCCGTTGACCTACAATCAGGCAGGGGTGAGGACATTGGGCAGGCCTTGCCCTAGAATCAAGAAACTCCAGAGGTACTGCTCAGTGAGAGCTACAGGTCATTTGTGCTCAGTAAAACCATGAAGAGGGGCATGGCTGCTGCAGGTAGGGCAACCCCAGAGGATCACAGGTGATGCCAGACAAAATGAGTGAGTCCCCATAGTCTTACCAGACCATAGGGCTGAGGTAAGATGTTGGCAGTAAGCTTCTCAGGTTGGTGTTATAGTGACGGGGTCAGGGGAATTAAAAACGAGAGCTGGGAGTGGTTTTCATTTGGCATAAAACTTTGACATCCTTGATTGATTTCCTTTGGTTAAGGAAAATCCTCTGCTGACCCAGCAGCCGTAAGTGGCCCGCACAGTTTGACTTATCATGCATAATGCACAGGACAGGCCCACTCGTGCACAGAAGTAGCAGAATGAAGCCAATAAAATAGAATAGAAATTTATTGCCACGTGTACATTTACATGAAAAATACAGTGAAAAGTTTTAAAAGCCATCCTACCATGTGTCTATATTAATGACAGAAGTCACTTATAATTATACAAAAAAAAGTAGAATTAAGACAAAGTTTATAACAGTTCAGACAACGGCTCCTGGATGTGGGGAAAGCCAAGTGAAGAATGATGGAATGCATGGAAGGCGCAGCTGGGATGAGACTGCCATTCTGGGATGAGACTGTTACTCCAGGCCACCGGAATACTGGCCCAGAAGCCTCCAACAAAGGAAACCGCCACACCAAGCTGAGACTGCCACTCCTGGATGAGACTGCTTGCCAGGCCATGGGAACACCTGGAAACCAAGACTTCTTTTGTGGTCCTTAACTGGCAAATTATGAACCTCAATTAGTAGAAAACTTTGAACATTGGCTCAGAACTTATCAGTAGTAGAGTCAAGAAGGCAATGGTGTTCATGTTCCACCATCTTCTCTAACCAAGTGCCCACCTCACCACAAAGCTTGGCAGAAAATTCTGCCTAACATTTTTTCGCAAGTCAACAACTCCTCACCTTGTTCTTTCATCGCTTACAAATTGCAGCCTACCTGTGGAACTATGCACTAGCCACAATGTAGGTTTAAAACAATATTTAAATACACATTGGCCTGAATTGTCCAATCTAAGTCAGTATCCCTATTCATCTAGTTACTTTTCCAGATTTCTGATGCAGGATCCATCGCATAAGACACAGTCCAGAAAGCCACACATACAGCATAGTAATGGATCTTCAGACAGTGATGTCTGCTTTTTAAGCAATGACTGCCATTTTCCAGTAAGTAAATACAGTTTTAAAGATCAGGTAGCTTCTTATACAGTTTTTGAGAAAAGTTAAGTGTGTACATGAGTGAGCATGGGTACCACATGGGTAATGTGGTTAGGGCGTTGTGTCATTAAGAGGATAGGACACAAGCTGGATAGTTGAGGAGTTAGTGTAGCATATGGGTAAGTGGGTGGTGTGGCAGTGGCAGGTGGGTGGGGGAGCTGGATGCCAGGTGGATAATGGGGTTGGGTGGCAGATGGGTAAGGAGGTAGGGCGGAGGCTAAGGAGGTAAGACTATAGGGTAGGTCAGATGTTGGAGGCATCAGGTCAGGTGAAATGTTGGGTGTGGAAATTGGGTTGAGTTTTGGGATGGGGTCAGGTATCAGAGGCAGGACCAGATGTTGGAGCAGGGGGCAGATGTTGGGTACTGGGGTCAAGGGTGAATGTCCTGGTTAGTGAACCTCAGTGTGAGAGGTCAGTTTTATAGTTTTATATTTATCCAGGAATTAGAGCAAAGTTTAATTCCTCTAACTTTTCCTGGCTAACTATTAAGGTAAATAAGTTGGAATCCTTTACAGTCTTTAACTCTAAGTCAGAGTTGGGACTTTTTCAGAAGGTCCCAGGTAATTGCCCATTGGAAGGTTAAACTTTGCAGGTAATTCCGACATAGTTAATTCCTTAGGGCTTCTGAGAGGTCCCAATGTGTAACTTTCAGGGTATGCTCGCTCGGAATCCAATTATTCAGAGACTAGAGGATCTGGGCCATTTCAATATTAATTAACTTACTTTACCGCTATATGAAAGTTCCCTTCTTGTCTTAAAACTGAACCAAATGAAACCCAGAAATGGGCTGGATGATAAAGAAACAGAAAATGCTGGAGAAACTCAGCAGATCTGGCAGCATCTGTTGAGAAAGAAAGAGAATTGACATTTCAAGTCCTGTATGACTCTTCTTCAGTTCTATTTCTCTCTCTCCACAGATGCTGTCAGACCTGTTGAATTTCTCCAGCACTCTTTTTATTTCAGATTTCCTGCATCCACTGCAGTTTTGCTGTTATTTAAGTGGGCAGGATTATATTGGGATCCCAGTCTGCTGACATTATTAGGTGATTCAACTTCCTGAACTCAGTCAAATCTGCCTCCCTTGGCAGTAAAAACTTCTCCCAGTATCTCAAGTGTTTGCACCTAACTATAATACCTCATCCCTGCCATCATCTATGTAAGTCAATGTGGTATATTGTATAGGAGTTTATTCTGTCCTCTAATAATAGTTTGTCCAAATCTCCATGTTGTTTTACATCATTGTATTATACATATTTATCATTACTTTTTCATCTTTGTACTTGATGCCCCTATATATAAAAACTCAATAGTGTTGATCTTTTTAATGGTTCATTATACCTGAACTTAGACTCTGAATGAATTATTTCAATTTCAGCTACAAGCCTGCAATTAAATTATTTTCCTCCATAACCAACGGTGTCTCCACTGAATGCGTTTTTGCCATTCTTTGTTTTGAGTTAACAACCTGCTCATCATTGACCTTTGCTAATATTCATTTAATCTATGCCATCGGAGTTCTAGTTATCTACACGTATTTGAAACAATAGTAGACCTTGTAATGACATACTCATTGCAAGATCTTCTCTAGGACAAGCAATATATCTTACCTCTAGTGCAATTCCTGAAGTTTCTTGTCTACTACTGGTCATATATATATTATATATATATATGTTCTATATATATGTGTATGTATATCACCAGGACAAATATCACTTTAATCCTCAATTGCTTCATCAAACATCATAACTTCGTGACACTGAGGTAGTACAAGAAACAAGTCTGAGTTTTAAGCACAAGGGGAGCTATGATATGCATAACTAACAATTCTATGAAGGGTAACTTGGTAACAAATATATACATGTTTGGCTTATTGTCATGTACTTCTTCAAATTACCTTATCTATTATCTGTCTTCTTTGCAAAATAAAAGAAGCATTTCTCTGATTTAGCCTAGGTTATAGTTAACTGGAGAGTGCTTGATAGCAGTCTTAAATCTCACCATGCCCATGTCCAACCATAAATCTACATAGGAACATAATAACAGGAGTAGGCTATTCAGCCACCTGAGCTCTGCCACTCGATAAGATCATGAATAATCTGTGGCCTAACTCCATATGCCTGTCTTGGACCCATGTCTCTTGATACCCTTGCTTGATAAATACTTGTCTATCTCACATTTAAATTTAACCATTGAATTACCATCAACCGCCATTTGAGGAAGGAAGCTTCAAGCCTACATTACACTTTGCATGTAGAAGTGCTTTCTAACAACTCTCCTGAATGGCCTGACCCTAATTCTTAGACTATACCCCTGGTTCTAGAGTCCTCAACTAGTGGAAATAGTTTATTTTTTGTCACCTTGTCTTTCTCTGTTAGTATCCTGAGCACCTCGATTAAATCACCCCTTAACCTTCTAAATTCTAGAGAATAAAGGCCTACTTTGTCTAATTTCCCATAACGTAATCCCTGAAGTTTGGGTATCATCCTTTTAAACCTGCATTGAACTCCCTCCAGGGCCAAAACATCCTTCCTAAAATGTGGTGCCCAGATCTGCTCACAATACTCTAAGTGGGGTCTAACTAGGATTTTGCACAATTGCAGCATAACGTCTTCACCCCTACAGTCCAGCCCCTTAGATATAAAAGCCAGCATTCCATTACCCTCTTGACAATTTTCTTGACTGTTTATATATATAAAATCTTTCTCCTTGGAAAATTTTAAGGTGCTAATATAAGTTGTTGTTGTACATTAAATATGCAAACTGTGAAATAAATATGTAAGCTTTCCCAAGTGTTTTGGTTTTATTGATAATTAATTATGGGTTTGTTTTGATTTGGGAAGAATGAAAATAATCAGATGAAATAGGGAAGTGTAAGTCTGATGGTTGAAAGGTCATGACAGTTCTTTTGTTTACAGTTATGGAGTTATACAGCATTGAAACAGACCCTTCATTTTTATCACTATATACCAACTCTTCAGTCATAACACTGGTCTAGTTCTTCATAAGTTGAAGATTTTCTCACTGTACTAGCTAGTAAAATGTAGAGAAATGTCTTTTTTAACCAATTTGTTGTATAATGCTGTCAAATTTTACAAAAACATTGTAATAACAACAAAATATTTTGTTGCATTAATTACAACACATTTATTATTTATGAAACAATGAGGCACATTAAAATACAAACTATAACAATATGTGCTGAAACATAAAACAGTTTTTGTTTTTGTACCACTCCATATTAACTGTGATTTTCTCTGTTCATATTATTGAAAATCAGATCGTGAATAATAGTTTCTTATTATAGAGCATACAAAATAGCAGCACATCAATTGAGACCATTACTTCCCAATTACAACTGACACAGTCAAGTGTTATCAAAATCTGTTTATTACATTGTTGAATAATATGTGGCACTGCCTCAACATTCACTACACTTTATATATTTGTAAATACGGCAATAAAATAGAATAATTTCTATTAGGGGAAGTCATAACAATTATTTATTTCAACAATCAACTGATACAGGTGGGGATATAATATTATAGACACTTGTGCTAGCAAATTAAAATAAATGGCATTCAATATAATTCCTTATTATTGTTATTAACGTCTTTGGACAAGGTCTTGTGCTGTTTTCCACTCAGAAGAGGAATCTGTAGAAGGAAAAATATATAGTTAGTGAAACTTCAGTGATCAGATGAAAACATAGACGCAGTGTTTCACAGAAAATTATTTAATATACTAATATTATAATAACATAGTAATATTAATATCATAATATGAGTAGATTAATAGTAAATAATCTGACATCTTTTACTTACCAGCAGTTGAAGAGCGTTTTCCCATAAGTCCAACAAAATTCTCTAACTTATGTCCTATGGAACAAAAGAATTACAATAAATTATTTTCCCATTATAATTTTACCATGTATTTATTGTGAATTTTTTTCAACTGGCAGTATATTTTATTTACCTTTCCTAGACAAGTATTTATTGAGTGTGAAATTGGACAATAATTCGCTTGTGCTTTTGAACAAATATCAAATACCAAATTACATGGAAATAGATTCGGGTGTTCTGAAATTAGTGGCAATAAATCTTCTAACATTTTGCTCTCCTGGGCATTTTAAATTTAACCCAGTATTCATTTTAAATTATGTACCCATAAATAACTTAATTTGTGTTTTTAAATACTAATCTCTGACTAGAATATCACATAATTTAGGATTATAATGACAAACCTGAACCAAGGGTGCTGATATTATACCATTAGATTTATGTCTCAACTTGCTTCCACCTCTGCCAGACCATACAAACTTAGTACTTGCACACAAAGTATAAAATTTTCAGTCAATTTTGAGTTATGTCAGAACCCATTTGAAATTTTTCAGAATAAATGTATATAAATAGAAAACGAGCTTTTAATGTTACAATAACGTACTGAGAGTTCTCGAGGTACTGCCAAAATATCTAAAAGTACATTATTAGAATCATCCCTACTTTAAAAAGCCCCAGCCATTATGATGGGCTGAGTTGAAAGAAGACATAAGCTTTGGAGAGATTTAATTGAGAGTTTTAAAATGACAAGAGAAAATACTATGTCTATGCAAATGGATTATTTCAATTAGATAATTTAGGGAAAACAAACTGTCCTATAGAGACATGTCAATACTCAGAACAGGTTACCAATTTATGAGGTAAGGATATATTTGATGCAACGGCTCAAACAGGAGATGAATGAGTTCCTTGCAGTGGTGACTACCACTACCTGTAACTTGCAAGCGTGATGTTAGATTGGTGCCAGATGGCGATTCATCTCCAGGGACCAGATCTGATTGCCTACAGGGGTTACAGTGGAATATGTCTTGAAATGGCCTTTCATTAAAACAAAACCTGTTCTTTTGCATTTTCCAAAAGATTGTTAAAATGGGTGAAGACTTTATATGTTCTATAGTCATGAAAATTTGCAAGTAACCATACCAGTGAGAAACTTATTTTCTAATATAAAAGCTAGTGTGCTGAAATGTAAAGCCGTTAAGGACCATAAATTAAATTTGAGTGGTCTCAGTGCAATTTATAGCACAGAGAATTAAAGATATGCCTGCAATTAGCAAAGATTGGGTGACTTAGTGAATTAAGCGAAACATCTCAATACTTCTGAAAAAAAAGGTTAGAAATAAAAAAAGGAAAAATTTTGATTAAAACCATTATATAATCATGTCTTAAAGTGTTATTTTGTAATGCTAAGATCATCTTGAATTTAAAATTCAATAATATTCATTAATATACACAAATTAGCTTGATGTCAATATAGATTTTACCTGAAATACCAAACAAAGTACAGTAGTTTATTCCATTGGAGGGCATAAGATTTGTTATGTAATTAATATAACTAGTGAAATCCAGTTGTCTCATTGAGATGGTGTTATATCAAGAAAGTCTTCACCTTCATAATAGTGAAGGAAATGTTTTGCCAAATGATAGGCTATGTTAATAGTATTTCAGTTTGTTTTTATGACCTATCATTTTTAGAAAGAAAGACAATTGATCTAACATCCAAGAACACGAATGTGCAAACCTGTAAGATCATGTTGGAAGATGATTGCTGAAAGCATCTCTGTATTTGCAGATATTTGAGATATGTTGACAAGTACCATGGAATGGATTACTCAAGTGCAGTCTTCCCTGAGACTTATAATTTTTGAGACTTTTAATCAACTGTTCAGGCATGTTATGACATACGTCTGAAGCAGGTGAGGTTTGAAACCAGGCCTTTAAGCCCAGAGATATAGACACTACCACTGTTCCACAAAATTGTTATGATTTGTTTTTAGGACTGCAGCAATTGCAAGTGTCTGTCTATTGAATACAATTACTGCAGATGAAGCAATTGAAAGTCAGAAGGTATACAAGTGTTCTTAATTTTATGAGTATTGTAATTGGTTTGGAAAACCTGCAAAGTAAATAGAACTGAACCCAAGAACAAACAGTGAGTAATGTTTTATTAATTAATCTGTGCTTCAGACAAATTTGATACTATTTAATATAGTACCCATAAAACCTAACTCTAGCATCATGTTCCAGGGCTACTTTAATTCTGCGCAAATTCCTTTTAAATGGATATTTCAGCATCAGTTTTGAAAGACAAATGCATAACATCATAGAAATGGGAAAATAGCCCAGGTTCATATTGTCCCAGTAGTTTCATTGAAAAATCTTTTATCATTTCAGGCCTTTTGAAGCATATTATTCAAATTGTTCATACAACAAGAGATATAAAACTTCAACCTTGAATCCACCCATTAAATTACAACTATTTTCATACACCTTTTTCAAAGGTTTTCTGTTTTGATTTTCTCAGTTATTAATCAATAACGTTTCAAAACTTACTTTTGCGAGTCAGTGGCTTGTATTCTGAAAAGGAAGGAAAAACAACACTTATTTTTCCTATAAACTTTCCTGAAATAAAAATTATTGTCCTGACTGAGTCACTGACTTTTTATAATGATTAACTCTGCCTTTATTTCTCCAAATGCAGATAACCGGATCTGTTTATGCATCTCTGATGATGGTTTCAAATGATGAGTGGATAGTTTCAGATATACCTTGCTCATTATTCTTTTTCATCACAACTGTCTGTCACCACATTCATCCTCTTAGAGAGATAATCTATCCATGCTTCATCTTAACTGAAAAACTATAAACAAAGATCACTATTCTTTGAGAGCTTGGAGAGCACATTTTAAGTAATGTATTATAAACATTTTTACACTCCAGCTAGAAATCATTTCCTCCAGTACCAAATTTAATAACTTCAAAATTATCATTCATTTTGGCCTCACAAATCTGTTGGAAAAATCAAGCAAATTTGAGTATGGTTAATCTAGGTCATTAGAAATATCTAAGTGCAACAAGAAATTACACTGAAACATATTTAAATTAATAACATGCAAATAATTTTGGTTTAACATTTGGAATTCTCATTTTGAACTTCTGTAATAGCACATTGTTTTCATGTATTTGTTTTGTATGTTAATGGACCATATCTTGTTCTCAGTGACAAAGAAGTGAGAACTGCTGTTCACTTTGCATACAGTTACATGGAGACTTTGCAGTTTTGTCAGGGTCAGAAATCATATGATACCAGGTTATAGTCCAACAAATTTATTTGAAAATACAAGGAACCTCACTCCTTCTTCAGGTGTTAGTGAGAGAGGTAGTATCAGGCACAGAACTTATAAGTAAAAGATCAAAGGGTCACACTGCTGATGAGGATGCATTAAACAAACCTAAAATGCTGTTAAATCTTTAATCAGTTAAAAAGTTTTAATTGATTAATATGTATACGTACATCCCCAAATTCCTTTCAAGTCACTGCCCTGAGAGAACAAGGTTTTATCAGTGTAAAGAACAGGTGATATTTTACGTCAGACAATTCATGTTAAGTGTGAGGCCTTGTTTAGAATCAGTTTGTGTTTTGGTTTGGAGTCAGTAGGAATTTGTAACATGCCACATTGACTCACTGTGTATAAATTCTGTGCTTTTTGAACAAAATAGAATGCATCTGCAAATACAAATTCACCCCATAGATTCGCGTGTGTGTGTGTGTGTGTGTGTGTGTGTGTGAGTGTGTTGCGGGGGGGGAGAAAGAGAGAGAAACAGTGTGTGTGTGTGTGTATGTGTGTGTGGGAGAGTGTGTGTGTATGTGTGTGGGAGAGAGAGTGTGTGTGTGCATATGTGTGTGTGAGAGAGAGAATGTACGTGTGTGTGTGTGTGTGTGTGTGTGTGTGTGGGAGAATCTGTCTTTGTGTGTGTGTGTGGGAGAGAGAGAGAGTGTGTGTGTTTGTATGTGTGTGTGAGAAAGAGAGTGTGCCTGCGTGTGTGGAAGAGAGTGTGTGTGTGTGAGAGAGAGACAGAGAGAGAGTTTGTATATGTGTATGTGTGTGTGTGTGTGTGTGTGCATGAGAGGGAGTGAGAGAGAGTGTGTGTGTGTGTGTGTGTGTGTGTGTGTGTGTGTGTGTGTTTTGTCAGTACATCCTTCTATCCATCCCTGACACCTGATCCAGTGTGGATCCTGCTTTAATAAATCTGTGGTATCAATGAGTAAGCCTCTTCAACCAATCAAATTAAGAATTCTCACTGAAATATGCATAGCCTGAAACAGGGATGTAAAGGAAAAACAGAAAATATAAGTTACATCTGAAACATACAGAAATTAAAATGATCCAAGATTGAATTAGGCAAACACAATGGAGAGTTTTAAAATGATGAACAAAAGAACTAAATTATTAGTATTATTTTTAAAATTTGCAACTTAATTTTGTCTTGAGATTTTCCCATTGGCAAAAAAAAAATTCAGGTCAAGGGTTGTTATTCAGTATGAATTACCACGTATTACTCTGTTAAGGAACCCCATCATTCTTGAACACACTAACCTTGACTATTTCGTCTGTTTTCTTTGCAGCACTAATGGGAAAATAGCACCGGTTCATGTTGTCATGGTAGCTTCATTGAAAAATCTAACATTGAGGACTGCAAAAGTGCATTCTGTGAAGGCACAGGTATCTCTGACAGTAACTTTTGAAAATATACATCTAACTGCATAAGTCTGGATGGCAGAAGTTGCTGTCAAGATTTACCCTGTCATAATGACAAGTCCTGATAAACTCTCAAGTTATTACCGCAAGTTTCAACTACTATGAACACACACATAGGCACAAGGTATACATATAGTTTTAAAACATTCAGCATTTTTTGAATATTTAGTCTAGATGAAAGTATAAATACAAATGCCCTAATCATCGCTCGGAATTCTGATAAGTAAGCAATTTTTATTTCTGGAAAGAAAGCTTATATA